ATCTGACGTCATAGATTGACGTTTATGACCAGCAGAAGCAGAGCCTTTGAATGTTGGGCATCTGTGATCATTTGGTCACAAATCACTTCTCTTGCCTTGCAGTAAATGCTTGCAAACACAAAGCCCATTAGAGACTTAATGGGCTTTAAGATTGGTTGATCCTTTCTTCAGTTTACAAGCTGTGATGTTATGTCAGTTGACATTCTACAAGTTATAAGATTTAAGCGTTCAATGTCGCCATCTAGTGGTGAAATTTATGTACATCACTTTAAGAGTCGAGCGTTAATGATGTCATTAGAAAGCCGACAGGTCAGGACAACGCAACGCATGGGTTTTCGCAGTAACACGGCTACTGTTATACAGTTGGTCCTAGAAAGCACTGTCGTTTTACACCTACTCCAACTGGCTTCATTAAAGACTCAACGCAAACGCTCCAGTCTGTGTGATTCCTTTGGAGAGGAGTTTAGCTGAGTGTCGACTCCGGCAAGGCGTTGGAGGTTGAGGACATGACAGTAAAACGACACTTTCTGGCGGTCCAGCTTCAACGGTGAAAAGTAAACGAATTAATCAACGGAGAAAATCCAGCTCAGCAAAAGAGTAAGCAACACGCTTCAGCCTACATCATGTCAAGAAAAAGCTCCATATCAGGATCTGTTAAAACAAGATCACGCATCTCAGGCTCCTCTAATCAGTCTACGAGTTCGGAAGCTAGCAAAGTAGCAGTAGCGTTGGCACGTGCAGAAGCCGAAGCAGCTAAAGCTGAAGCAGCATTCGTCGAGAAAGAAATTAAACTGAGGTTACAACAAGCAGAGCTAGAGGCTTCAACACAGCTTCAGAAAACACATTTAGAGGCTTCCTTGGAAAAGGTGCGCTCGCAGAAAAGAGCTGCAGCCGCAGAAGCTAAAGCCGAAGTCTTAGAATTAGCTGTGGGACAGCATAGTGAGACCTTCAGTGAAATAGATGTCCCAAATGAGGACCCAGATTCACGCACAAAAGACTATGTTGAGAGAGCAACCCAACATGGGCCTACATTTAACTTGGAGCAAAGAACCTCTGCATCAGTAATGGCGTTGCCAGTTCAGCCAAGACCAGAACCTGCCATAATGATGCAGGCTCAGAATCCTACTAAGACAGTGGGGTCCAATCACCATTTCACGCTACAGACAAGATTAAATGAAAAAGTATGCCAAAAATGGAGCAAAACACAGGTTCTTGGGATAATCCAACGGACATTCCCTTCTGTAGAACAGACTATAGAGACAGAAATGATCATTTGCCTTTGCCACAAAACGCATGCTATCCCAACGACGGTTCGCAAATGAGTCATGGGGATGTAAGTAAATGCATGTCTGACCTTGTCAGATTCATGGCAAGACGGGAGTTAGTCTCCACAGGACTCACACAGTTTAATGATCGTCCTGAGTGCTTTAGAGCCTGGAGAGCATCCTTTTTGAGTGTAATCAGAGATTTAAACCTCTCAGCTAATGAACAGCTTGACCTTTTAGTCAAATGGTTAGGGAAAGACTCAGCAGAACATGCTCGACGTTTAAGAACGGTGCATGTGAATTATCCTGAGTACGGCCTCAGGGCAGTTTGGGATAGACTAAACGAATGTTACGGGGTTTCAGAGGTGGTGGAGAGTTCCTTGTTCAAAAGGTTGGAAAGTTTTCCAAAGATCTCTAATAAAGACCACCGCAAACTAAGAGAACTTGGCGATTTGTTAATGGAAATAGAAGCAGCTAAGGTGGACGGTGATCTACTAGGTTTGAGTTATCTAGACACGCCACGTGGAATTAATCCTATTGTACAGAAGTTGCCATTCTATTTGCAAGAAAAATGGCTAACATCAGGCTTTCAGTATAAGCAGGAACACAGGGTTCTCTACCCTCCATTCAGATTCTTTGTGAACTTTGTTTGTAACCAAGCAAAGATGAGAACTGATCCCTGTTTTATGCCAACGACTTCGAATAATGATTCAGCTGAGCACCATAGGCAAGCCTTAAGAGCTGATAGTCATAAACCTCTTGCTGTAATGAAGACAGGGGTTTTCACTAAGAAGTTACCTGGACAGCAATGTGGCTCTGTTCAAACCAGTATGCAATCTGCAAGCAGACCCATCATAACAGATGATCCAGCCAAACATTGTGTGCTACACAACAAACCTCATCCTCTCTCGAAGTGTAGAACCTTCAGAGGAATGCTCATTGAAGAAAGAAAGGCAATTCTCAAGAATATGGAATATGCTACAAATGTTGTAAAGCTGTACATCTGGCAAGAAACTGTGAAGAAGAAACAGTCTGTACAGAGTGTGGAAGTGTAACACATGTCTCAGCTCTACACCCAGGACCTTCACCGTGGGTAAACACCCCAGATTCTCGGATATCAGAGAACGGCGGGGAGGAGGAACAAGTGAGAAAAAGGAAGAAGCCGTCTCCACGACTTGCACCAAAATCTGTGGCAAGGAAATCTCAGGACGCTCCTGCTCTAAAATAAGTCTGGTGAAAGTATATCCAGATGGTCGTCCAGGTGCTGCAGTGAAGGTGTATGCAATATTGGATGATCAAAGCAATAGATCACTTGCACGGACTGAATTCTTTGATATGTTCAACATAACAGGGACAGCCACACCGTATTTCCTTAAAACGTGTGCAGGAACTATGGAAACGCAAGGCAGACAGGCTTGTGGCTTCATGATCGAGGCGAACGATGGCAGCATTCAGCTCGCTTTACCAACGTTGATCGAGTGCAACGAGATCCCGAATAATCGGTCGGAAATCCCGACACCAGAAGTGGCATTAAACCACAGCCATTTGAAACACCTTGCAAAGTACATTCCTGAGCTCGAGGAGCAAACTCCTATTGTACTCTTATTAGGCAGAGACATTCTTAGAGTGCACAAAGCTAGGAAACAAGTGAATGGCCCACACAATGCACCATATGCCCAAAAACTGGACTTGGGATGGGTGATTGTTGGTGATGTATGTTTAGGAGATGTTCATAAGCCATCTGCTGTGACCTCCTGTTACACCAACATCTTAAAAACTGGACGGCCCTCTCTATTTGAGCCGTGTCCAAGGAGTTACACAGTTAAAGAGAGATTCTGTTGATGACCCCCCCTTCTCAACTTCATCTTTCAACACAGGCTTCATCAGCAGTAGTGAAGGTCTGGATGCGGATGTCTTTCTCCAAACAAAGACGGATGATTTGGACGCTCCTTCAATAGAGGACATTCAATTCCTGACAATGATGGACAAAGAAGTACATCAGGATGAAAAGAACAACTGGGTCGCTCCTCTTCCTTTCAGGACATGGCGACCACAGCTTCCAGAGAACCGCTCACAGGCACTTCAGAGACTTCACTCACTGCAGCAAAACTTCAGGAGAAAGCCGGAGATGAAACAGCAGTTCTTCGACTTCATGGAAAGGATCTTCAGAAACGGGCACGCAGAAGAGGCACCCCCTCTGGGACCAGGGGAGGAGCATTGGTATTTACCTTCATTTGGGGTTTTTCATCCTAAAAAACCATCTCAGATCAGAGTTGTCTTTGATTCTAGTGCACAACATAACGGACTTTCTTTGAATCAGGTACTCTTAACAGGGCCTGATCTCAATAATAGCCTCAATGGAGTCCTTCTGAGGTTCAGGAAGGAACCAATAGCCTTTTCAGTAGACATAGAGCAAATGTTTTATTGTTTCACAGTGAAACCAGCAGATCGCAATTTCCTCCGGTTTCTCTGGTTTAAGAACAATGAGCCGGAAGGAGAGATAATAGATTACCGCATGAAGGTGCATGTTTTTGGAAACAGCCCTTCCCCTGCAGTAGCTATTTACTGCCTTAGGAGGGCAGCAGAAGCTGGCCAAAAAGAGTTTGGTGAGGACGCTAAACAGTTTGTCGTCCGCGATTTCTATATGGATGATGGCCTAAAATCCCTTCCTTCGTCAGAGGATGCCATCAGCCTGCTAAAAAGAACAAAAGACATGTTAGCTTGTTCTAATCTAAGGCTACATAAGCTGGCATCTAACAGTAAAAGTGTAATGGAAGCTTTTCCTGGTGAGGATCATGCTACCAATCTGAAAGACCTGGATCTAGATTCAGGCAACCTGCCTATGCAGCGCAGTTTAGGATTGCTGTGGGACTTGGATTCAGACAGTTTCACTTACCAAGTTCAGGAGGAGAGAAAAGCATTCACTCGGCGTGGAGTCCTCTCCACTGTAAATAGTTTGTACGACCCACTTGGATTGGTGTCTCCAATCACATTCAGGGCAAAGCACTTCTTCGAGAACTCACCACAGACTCCCCAGACTGGGATGCGCCTCTTCCTCCAGAGAAGGAGAAGCAGTGGGAGAGTTGGAGAAGCACTCTTAAAGAGTTGCAGCATTTTAAGATCCCTAGATCTTACACACATGTACCACCATCTGCTGCAAAGCACAAAGAACTTTGTGTGTTCTCAGAGCCTCTGAAAGAGCAGTGGCAGCAGTTGCATATTTAAAGACTGTGGATGGGCATGGAAAATGTCACACTGGCTTGATAGCAAGTAAAGTCAGACTTGCACCAAGGCCTGGCTATACCATACCTAGACTAGAGCTTTGTGCCGCAGTCATGGCAGTGCATTTGTATGAGGTTATTGTCTCAGAAATTGACATTCAGTTCACATCAGTTACCTTTTACACAGACAGTAAAGTTGTCCTGGGGTACATTTACAATGAAAAAAGAAGATTTCATGTATTTGTTCACAATCGTGTCCAGAGAATCAGACGCAGCACACGGCCTCAGCAATGGCAATATGTGCACACAGAGCACAACCCTGCAGACATTGCTACACGACCTGTTCCAGCAGAACTGTTGAGAAACACAATATGGTTCACTGGTCCAGCCCTTCTATCCAAACATGGAAGTCTCATCAGTTGTAGAGCAAACATATGAGCTTTTGGATCCAGAATACGATCCAGACATAAAGAAAGTGACAACTCTAACAACAGTAGTGTCTCAGCATCTCGGCTCTCATCGTTTTGAGCGATTTTCTTGTTGGAGAACAGTTGTTAGAACAGTTGGAGGATTGATTCACATCACTCAGTGCTTCAAAAAGAGACGAGACGACCTTTCAATGGAGTGTAAAGGCTGGCATTTGTGCTCACCACACTTGTCAGTGGACATTCTCAAAGACAGTACTACAATAATTCTCAGATCTGTTCAGCAGGAAGTCTTTGGAGCAGAGCTGGAATTGATTGCTGCTAATCAATGCATTCCAAAGAGCAGCCTGTTGTGGTCGTTGGATCCTTTCATTGACTGCAAGGGAGTTCTAAGGGTCGGAGGTCGTCTTCAGGAAGCGAACTTAGGATCTGCAGAGAAAAGACCAGTAATTCTACCTGGACGTCATCATGTCACCACCCTGATAGTTCGTCACTACCATGCAGAATCTCAACATCAAGGGAGGCACTTCACGGAAGGAGCTATCAGATCTGCAGGCTTTTGGATCCTGGGTGGCAAACGATGCGTGAGTAAACTCATCTTTGAATGTGTCACATGCAAAAGGCTCAGAGGAAAGTGTGAAGTTCAAAAGATGGCAGATCTCCCGGCTGACAGACTCAGCACGGAACCACCGTTCTCTAATATCGGCCTAGATGTCTTTGGTCCATGGTCTGTATCTGCCCGACGGACAAGAGGAGGTCATGCGGAGAGCAAGAGGTGGGCTATTTTGTTCACATGTTTAAGTGTCAGAGCTATCCATATCGAGGTCATTGAATCCTTGGATACCTCCAGTTTCATAAACGGATTGAGAAGATTCCTGGCCATCAGAGGACCAGTGAAGCACATCCGCTCTGACAGGGGAACTAACTTTATCGGGGCTTCAAAAGTCCTAGGAATTCCCTCAAATATTGATGAAACATCTGTGCAGGGATTTCTTTCAGATCACGACTGCACTTGGACCTTCAACAGCCCTCATTCTTCTCACATGGGCGGAGTGTGGGAACGGATGATTGGTGTCACACGCCGCATTTTGGACTCAATGTTCCTTCAGATGGGAACTTCCAAACTCACGCACGAGGTGCTCGTGACCTTCATGGCAGAGGTCGCAGCTATCGTCAACAACAGACCGTTGATTCCTGTCTCCTACGATCCTATGGATCCATTCATCCTTACACCTGCCACTTTGTTGACGCAGAAAGTGGAACCTTGTCCAGCTCCTGTGAGAGACTTGGAGGACAAGGACTTGTCCCGACAGCAATGGCGCAGGGTGCAAAGTCTGTCTGACACCTTCTGGGACAGATGGCGCAAGCAGTATTTATCTACTCTGCAACCTCGCAAGAAGTGGACATCTGAGCACAGAAGTTTGAAACCAGGAGATGTTGTGCTCCTAAGAGACAATGCGGTGAAACGTAATGTCTGGCCTATGGGCATCATTACTGAGGTGTTCCCCAGTAAAGATGGACTTGTTCGGAAAGTTCAAATTAAAGTACCGAAGGTAGATGGTATTAAGCTGTTCTTAAGACCCGCATGTGATGTGGTTTTGCTTATTGCTTCGCAAGTGTAAGGTTGTGCATTTTTGTGTTATGTGAACTTCGTAGTTCAGACGGGGAGTGTGATGTTATGTCAGTTGACATTCTACAAGTTATAAGATTTAAGCGTTCAATGTCGCCATCTAGTGGTGAAATTTATGTACATCACTTTAAGAGTCGAGCGTTAATGATGTCATTAGAAAGCCGACAGGTCAGGACAACGCAACGCATGGGTTTTCGCAGTAACACGGCTACTGTTATACAGTTGGTCCTAGAAAGCACTGTCGTTTTACACCTACTCCAACTGGCTTCATTAAAGACTCAACGCAAACGCTCCAGTCTGTGTGATTCCTTTGGAGAGGAGTTTAGCTGAGTGTCGACTCCGGCAAGGCGTTGGAGGTTGAGGACATGACACAAGCTATGCATGGTTCAAGAGAAATGTCGGGTCATGAAAGACTCGTTTGACCGCCGATGACAAGGCGGTCAGTGTCATGTGATTCTGGTCACATGACACATGGTGGGCTGGGAAATAAGCTTCCATATCTTTGTATGGAAGCTTATGGGAACTATAACTTATGGTACATATATATAGAGATCTATCTATATCTGTATATATAGAGATCTCTATATATATACAGATATATTTAGATATATCTGTATATATATAGATCTATATATGTGTGTGTGTGTTAAAACGGCTTGCCATATATATCTGTGTGGAGAGTTAGAAATCGATAGATTGAAAATTAAGTGATCATAAGATTGAAGTGAACATTAAGTGATCATTTCTTTAACCATAAATCCCAGAAATACATGTTTCAATTCATAATTAGACAGACACAATGGGAGCCTGCCTAATACGCCAACATTACATGCAGTTTCTTTCTTGTATCGGAGTATGAGACCAGACATCATCAAAAAGGGATGATTAGACTAATATATAAACAGGGATTATTGTTTAAATAACACTAAAAAATTGAATTATTGAAAATAAATCAAAATAGACCAAAAACAACAACAAAAATGAAATGCTAAAACAATTACCATTAATTTTATTTTATAACATTGATTTAAAGTTGCAGGGTTTTTTTCTGTAGAGTGGGAGAACCTTTGCAGACACAGTGGCAGTGGGGACACAGAAGATGATATGTGGGTAAGACAACAATGTAATGCAGTGAAAAATAAATTCAAATAAATCTTAATTTAGTTGCAAAGGCCACAGGACTGACCAGTCCAAATTACATTTGGACTGGTCAGAATGTAATTATCTCAAATAGGTATTTTGTCCAGTCAAAATTTAATTAGAGATATCTTAAATTGCTAAAACGTCTGCTTTGAATTGCAAAAATCGGTAGGCTAATATTAAGCTGTGCAGGCTCAGAAATTAAAATAGACCAGACAGTTAAACGTGATATAAATAATAATAATTTGAGGAGACCGGAATTATGATTTAAGATTTCTTGAACGTAATTATCACTGTCAAAATTACAATTTTAGATATCTGAATTCTGAATGAGGTGAAAGCCCCTTTGTGCTGTCCGAATAGTTGCCTGCAGAATTTATATTTTCAGTAAATGCCACAAATAAATCTCACGTCATTTGGACTGGTTAGAATGTAATTATCTCAAATAGGTATTTTGTCCAGTCAAACTTTAATTAGAGATATCTTAAATTGCTAAAACGTCTGGTCATAAAACACTTTGAGATACCTGGAATGTAAGAGCAGTGAAACCGACTTTATATCAAAAAGGCTTGCCATACGCAGAAGGGCGACCGGTCTTTGACGTCAATCTGTGACGTATGATTAAGGAATGATCATCTGTGAAGGACAATGCATATCTGTGACCATCTTTGGACGTTGGATCTATAGGTCCTGCTAAATCTGTGTGGACCATTGCTAGTGGTTCTTTAGCTCTTGCATCTGGCTCCTTGTTAGTTTGAACAAATTTTCCTTTCGTGCAGACTTCACGATATGGCATTGGTTCACCCTCTCCCTTTAATTTCCATGCCATGAACAACATTTTCTAGCTTCAGTACATCTCTGTAATTGCAATGTCCAAGAATCTCACGCCAACCTTGTAAGTCATAACATTTTTTACACTGAGCTCCGCATTGTCCGTCGTTTGGAAGTAATACAATGTGTTACTACCAACGTGAATGGGGAACTTGGTATCGTCTCTGAGAAGAACGTTCTTTTCTTCTTTGAAGATCACCGTTGCTCCGCTGGATGTTGCAGCTTTCACTGAGAAGATGTCTTGCGGATATGAAGGGATGTACAATTTGTTCCTCAGCACTGTTTTAAGACGTCGACCTAACGCGTCTCCTCGTTTTTCTTGGCAACACCAAAACACCTGGATCCATCAGCCAATTCCACGCAGTGCGTCTCGGCCTGGAAACTTTCATCAAGCTTCCGAAAATTCCCGATGTCGGTGATTATATGCGACGTCGCACCAGCGTCCACCATCAGACCTCTCCTCTTGATGTCGTCCACTCGCGTGTCAGCGTCGCTCACCCGGAAAGCAAACTCTCTGTCGCCGCCCGCATTTGAATACTTAGTTGGTTCCTTTTTAGTCTTGAAGTTGAAATATTTTCAAAGTGACTCATCTCAGTTAAAATAAGTCATTAATAACTTATATATAATTATGTATCACTTCCACCTCTTCTTCTTTTTGGCAATTAAGAGTTCGTCGCACTGCTGGTGTGAAGTCAGCTTTAATGAACTCTTTAAAGTTGTTCTTATTACAGCTTCAGTTTCCCTGACACCAACACCACCGTCGAACTAAAACACAACGTAAACTTAGTGAGATGGTGTCAAGAATACAATATCGATATAAAAATAACATAAAACATATAAACATACCTCGCTGGCTAACCCTTCCTTTTGAGGTAGAAATGAGGTCATTCAGTAAATTCTTACACTTAAATCATGCTTCTTCATTTGCTTGCCAACTAGTGTCCCGTGGAAATTATTCAATTTCACTAAATTGGTCTAAAACGATTTTTTAAAACAAATTGACTGCAAATAATATGCCATTTCCGAGAGTCTGTGTTGTATAGTGACTAGCGGCGTCATCATGTAATTTCCTGATGACAGGATGGCAGTAGGTACACAGCACTGTACGTTAAAACAAGAGAATTAGTGATGCATGAATGTGACAGGAAGCGGTGAGAGCATTGTACCAAGCAAGACTGTGATGACAGTGATGGAAAAGTTTTTGAAAAGAAAAAAGCTAAATTCAGACCCAGATGAAGAACTTAGCATGAGTGAATATCAACGGAAGGCAAATACCGTGAGCTTTTTCTTTTCCAAATATTATTGCTTCTCTCAGAAAAGGAATTATTTTCTATATTCTGGCTGAGAGATTGCTTGTGGTCAGAATTAGTCGTGTGAACAATGTGGTCTTAAATTTAAATTGTTGTGCCACTGATCAGGCGCACTTTTGAAGTAGACATGTTAAGTGCAATTTGAAATATCTAATATAAAATATGATACAAATTCCTATTCAAGACACTTTGATAAGAACGACCATATATTATTATTATTTATTATTTTCATTTGTTTAGATTTTTGGTTGGTGGTGTGCCTCTTGATTCTTTCAATGAAAACAATGTACCTAGGCTCAAAAAGGTTGAAAAATACTGCAGTAGAAAGCAACGTTTAGATGCTGGGAGGAAGAAGAAAAAGTATAAAAAGTGTCCGGTTGTTTAGGGAGCAGCGGATCAGAACCAGAGTCAAGGGAGCAAATGTCATCCTCCTTTACATACATGACTGTAAATAAAGACCCGGACTAAACATGATCTGTTGATCCTGCATATCGATGCTTGATCATTTAAGAAAGGATAACCTATCCTATCTTTAAGGTTTTTAGTGTTTTTTTAAGTTTTTACCTGAAAGACAAAGCAAATGGTTAGTGACCAAATGAGCGCAGAGGGTCTACATTCAAAGACTCTGTTCAGGCGGTCAATGACGCCAATCGGTGACGTTGATTCTGGGTTGGAGTTTTTCCATTCAAGGAAAACGTGACCAGTGAACAGCTGAGCCAATCAGGAGGCGACCACGCCACTGCTCATCTATAGCATTTGAATACTTAGTTGGTTCCTTTTTAGTCTTGAAGTTGAATTATTTCAAAGCGACTCATCTCAGTTAAAATAAGTCATTAATAACTTATACATTATATAAGTATGTATTTTATATGTGACCTTATGTGTGGAGAACCTTAATTCTCCTTTTACCAAAATGGAAAGTATTCCACATTTTATTCATTTATTTTTATTGAACAATTTTTTTATGATGTTATTGTCTTAAAATGATGTGTGTGTCTTTAGCCTGTAAGATTTTATTACTTAAGTGCATGACACGTGATCTTGTAAAATTGTTCAAAGTGTTTAATAATTAAAAAGAAAAAAAAAAGCAACTACGTATTCAATCCCTGTAGTTAATGGGCAGTGGGCGGTCACCTGCTTCTGATTGGCTCAGCTGGTCGCTGGTGACGTCATCCTTAAATGGGATACTCATTCAAAGATCCTTGAATGTTAATGACGTCAGTGGGTGACGTCATTTACGTCAACCATTGACGTCATCGACCGAAATTCGGCTGATGTTTCTAAATGTTAGAAAACAAAAGACGACGCGCGACGTCCACTGCGTTGTCAGTAGACGAGGCCCAGTGCTTTGTGATCTCATTGAGATGTCTGTGATTTTCTTTGCGGGCATCTTTGTTATTCTTTTCCTACATAAATACATACTTTTGCTGCCAGAGTTTTAATTTATAGGTTTTATTTTGTATTATTTATACTTTTTGTTAAGACTCTTATTTTGAAGGAGTAGATGTAGAAGCGTCTGGTTACCAGGTTACCAGAGACGCTTGCGATATAACAGCATCGCGTTGGCAAGCAAATGAAGAAGCATGATTTAAGTGTAAGAATTTACTGAATGACCTCATTTCTATCTCAAAAGGAAGGGTTAGCCAGCGAGGTATGTTTATATGTTTTATGTTATTTTATATCGATATTGTATTCTTGACACCATCTCACT